TGAAAATATTTCATTGAAAAAAAAACAGATTCTAAATATGAAATTAATTAAAGACGCACATGCCGCATTAATCAACGTCGTCATAATCATTATCGTAATATCGATGCAACAAATGCAAATCAATGATCGAGCGATCACATTGCATGTGAAAAGCGAACGGCATTGAATATATCTTTCGACAATTGTTTTACATTCGAAACATGTTTGTGATCAACGTTTCTCCTAAAGCGTGTCGCGGTATATGTTTCACCGATTTCTACTGTATTCTATTGCGCAACTTTTTCAAAGAAGACATGTTTGGAATCGATGTTACTATTCAAGAGCCAAAGATCCGAGGTTATTTACTCGAAATCAGTGCCGCATTGATTATCCTTCTTCGAATGAAACGATTGAAAAGTCATTGTAAAAATTAGAAGAGATATTATAATGTTGATAAAGTTCGTTTGTTTTAACATGACTTACTAAGTATAATTAATAAACACACATTCATTTAATTAAAATAAAGATTTTCAACTGAAATGAGTAAAATGCAAGATCGATATTTTTGAAGATTTATTGTTAAAGAACGTCAAATCGTATATATTTCGTATATATTTTATGAAAAAACGCTTAGCTAACTGATTAACATATCTGCAAAAGCAATTTATTTATATGTATCTGAACGCCTTTGGATATATTATTTTTAGCAATTGCTGGCATGCATGCAATAACATTTGAAACGTTGCCCTAATGAGGACACTAACATTAATAAAGTTTTACATCAATTAATAAAATTGCGCTCGTGTTGCTGACGTAATTGAATGACAAAAATGAAAAGTTGTACATAATAAAATTAATTAAATGAAATTAATGAAATTAAATTAATTAAATTAATGAAATTAAATTAATAATTTATTACAATCATGAGATTCATGGTAGAATATTTCGACTTATTTCTCATCTTCATCAGTTTCTTCAAAAAGAATCTTAATCTTGTAATATAAATATTTTTATATCAATTATTTATACCATAAAAATGCGTTATTTTATTAATTTAACAATTAATTTGTATATCAATGTTCTTGTGATACAGTTAGTAAGTGTATAATGGATACAGCTTTTGTCATTATTTTTATTTTCATTTTTATTTACATAATTATTCATACGTTTAATATTTCATATTTTTACGTATGTTTAATTTATTATTATATCATTTCAGCTAATTATAGAGAGCTGATGAAGACAAAGTCAAGAAAGTTCTGCCATGAATTTTATGTTTGTAATTATTAATTTAATTACAACTAATTTTAAGCTCGTTATACACGACTTTTCTTTTCTTTTTTTATTTTATTAAGCTTTGCGTCATTTTCATATTTTTCATCCTCTGTTCCATAACTGTATATTGGCTGTATCGATAAAAAAATAAATCATACGCAATTTAATTTTTTATATCTATTAATTATTCATTGATTGAATTACAGATTATATTAATTGATAAATGTTCTTTCTATTAAAAATTATAATTAATAAAAACAAAACTTTTTTGGAGGGAATCAAATTGAGAAGATAAAATATAAATAAGCCAACTCATTTGCTTTTTAGTTCAAATTCAAATTGTTACTAAAAGGAAGATTTCTCAAAGATATTATAAAGATACAAAAAGGCCAAGTTTCTTGTGAATCAAATAAGACTTTCACAAATCGTTCTACGTCATAAGTTACATATCTCAATCAAGAGTAATTATCTTGCGAAATGCAACGAAGTTTTCTGGACGTATTAAGAACACGGATTATAGAATAGAACTTTATTTCTTCAGCTTACAAGAAGGGACTTGATTTACACTAAATTTCTTAATCATAGTCATCCTTCCACTGCGTAAAAAACCTAACTCTATCTACAATTTTCTATACCGTATATACTATACCGTAAATATCTTATCCATGACTTTTTGAAGAACACGGATTATAAAATCGCGAGAGACATAAATTCCATTTCGTAATATTCTACGAAATCCAGTAAGTAATATCATTAAAAATATATAAGAAAAAACTGATAATGTTATACTGATAATGTTATTTATGAGAAAAATATGACTTGATCAAATATAATATATTAACAAATATATTAACAAATATACAATGCGTTTTCAAATACATTCTTCAAATAGAATCTTGAAAATCATGTTTTGAAGGATTATGACAACATTTTGTATCCTATAAAGAAAGAAGAGAAAATGTTTCCCAATATTCATGAATGTTAATTTGCTAAGCACGGATTACTCAAAGCGCGATTGACATGATTCACATCTTAAGATTTGAAAGAAAGATAGCGTGCTGAAGCGGCCAAATGCTCCCTTCGTTGTTCGCTATGTTACCATCACCGATACTTATTTCCGGTGCTCTCTCATACTAGTCACTGCCAAAACGCGAGACTCAGGGTCGGCTGCTTCTAAACAGTCGCCAAGAAGTCTACATAAAACGTTTTCAATTCATGTATATATATATATATATGTACATGCACGTGTCACTGTTGGATATTTAACTTTCAATAACTCCTTCATTCATATAAATATCAAATAAAAAAGGTATCATTATATGCAATCAAAATTAATTTAGTTTCAATTCATGAAATTAATTTCTAAATTCATTGAATGATTAATGATTAATGATTAATCATTTTTAATCCATTAAATTAATATTCATTAATAATTTAAGAAATACTAAGAATATTGATAAAACTTTTCTATGCTTAAATATAATATTCTTTCTTTTCATTCTTTGAAAAAATATCGTGATAAGAATAATACTTTACAGCAAGTGACACAGTGTAACACAGTAATCATTTCATTTTGTATTTAACATTGGCAAATTACAAAAATACTATGATTCACTATACTGTATCTGTGTCTCTTGCTGGAAAACACCCAATATCTTTCGATCCTCTGACTTCTCAGATGCATAAAGAGTTCAAAAATTCAGTCCTATGTCATTAATTCTGAATTCATTTTCAGATATAAAAAAAATTTTTTTAAAGTTCCGAAAAAAATTCTTACATTTGAAAAAATGATTTCAGAACTGATGACATACGATTGAATTCTTTTTGAATTCTTTTTGAACTCTATCTGCATTCTTTCGATAACACTACGATACGTTACTACTTAATGCATTAATCGTTTCGACTAAAATTGATGTCAAGAAAAATGTCAGACTTGTCAGAAATTTATGTGTAAAAACGTTATTCGTAATATTAATAATTTAAAAAATTTAATAGAAAAATTCTAATCATGAAAAATTTAATATTCAAGTTATTAAAAATAAGTAAAAATTTGAAAAAAAACAGTTTAATACATTTAATAATAAGAAATAAGCATATAAGCATATTTGCTTTGATGTACATAATAATGTAGATTAGGATTATATATGTACTTATATACAATAATATAAAATAATTGTGTTTAATATTCCTGTAGTCAGAATAATTTGTATTTGAGACTCTCTATCATATGTATTTTGATCATACATTTAATGTTAACTGCAGAAGTATAATTTTTATCTCACATTCTTATTATTCTTTTGTTTGATGTAATTAGGCAGTAGAATTCAACAATAGCATAAGATGTAGTTTATAAATGCTTGTGTGCATGAACATAAATATGTATATATATTTTTAATTGTATGCATCGTAAATATAGATACCACATTTAAATGTTTCAAAAATAATTTGAAAAACAAAAT